TAAAGTTATTTTTATTTATTCAGCAATTAATACTTTTATTCAGATGCATTAAATTGATCAAAAGTGACAGTAAATAAATGTATAATATTACTAAATATTTCTCTTTCAAATGTTCTTTTGACCTTCCTATTTATCCACTAGAAAAACAAAAAAAAAAGCATAACAACTGTTTTCAGCATTGATAAAAATAAGAAATGTTTGAATTACTGAATTTCTGAAGGATCATGTGACACTGAAGACTGGAGTAATTCAGCTTTGCATCACAGGAATAAATTACATTTTAAACTATTTTTTTAATTAGAAACTGCTTATTTTAAATTGTAATAATATTTCATAATAATTCTGTTTTTATTGTAATATTTTTTTAAATCTTACTGACCCTTGACTTTTAAACAATATAATATACACTGTGTAATGTTTTATCAAATAAATTGAATCAAATTATATGTCCAAATGATTACTTGGCTTAAACTAATAAACCAAATTCTTAGATAATATTGTTTAAATAGCCCACTATTTTGGCCTTAATTACACAAATGATAAAAGTCTTATACTGTTCAAACAGACTAATATACTGAACATTCTCTGTTAACCAAATCTGATGTTGATTTGATAGGATTAGGAAAATAAGTAGGGAAAAGAGATGTGTGGTGTGAGAAAGCTACTCAAATTTAATATGTCTAATCCTGTCTAACTCATAGACACAGAGTGCATAGCTGTTGCTTTTCTTTCAGTTTAAGTAGTCTGGTCTCAGAGACACCTCGACATTTCCTCCCAGCCCTCCCACACATAAATGAAAGCAAAACAAATCAGCGCTCACGTTCATATTCCATTCATAAAGAATAACAAACCAATTCAGATTGATGATCAACTATAAATATCAAACGATTGCTGGCCTCAGATGCACGGGATTATCTGCTTTAAAGTCATTACGTTCACATCCTTCGCCTAATCTCTCAATTCCCTTTGTAATTCCAGCCCAGGATCACTTTTCCATGTTAGACGGCCTGTTTGCCAACAGGATTTATTGATGCTTTTGTTTCGGAGGCTGGAAACAAAAGGGCCTCACTGTGAGATAAAAGGCAAAGTGTGATTTATTCGATTAAATGCTCCGGACAATAATATAGAAAGAACAGAAAGAATAGGTGGAGAACTTCGGAGGACAAACTTCTGACACACACTTTGAAGTGGGAACGCTGTGTGATCCAAACTGCTTTGGACGAGCAGAAAATCCCGTGTGAAACCCAAGCGCTTTATTAGCATCTTATCTTATTTTTAATAGTGTTGTGATATCGATTAGATTTGCGTCCATCTAATACTAGTCCATCTGGTCCATCTGTCCCACAGTGCATCAAAGACCGCGAGCTGTCAAACGCTACACTTGTCCTATTAGAGAAGGGCTGCGAAATACACACTTAACTATTAACACGTGAGAAAAAATAGGTGCTAGACTTAAACAAGTGCTTGATCATCAAAAACGCATACTTTCAGAAATCGACTTTCAACTGTTTTGTTGACCTATGCATTATTTTCCCCACATTCTGACAAGCTAAATAATGAAGTGTGAATGTGTTGAACGTTGACAATGATGAGTTAATAATGTGACATACTAGAAGATTAGAAGGCTACTGAGGCTTTTGACAAACTTGTCAAGGTGGTTAGAACAATATACAACTTAAAAGACTCTTTTAGCTACACTACTTTGCCAACTTGTGTAGATATGTTAATCTGAGTTAGCAAGGTTCATTGAAAAATAAGGACCCACTAATGTTTTTAGCTGAGCTCAAATTGGAGGCAGGAAAAACAGAATAAATTAGCATTTGAACAACTATTTCTGGAAATACCAGCATTTGTGTCAAAAATGGCCATTCATTTATTTGAATTACAAATAAAACCAAAAACATGTTAATATAGGGAAACCATGGTAACCACAAATTACATGGTTTTGCCACACTAACCATAGTTTAACTATGGTATGGAGCCGACTGCTATATAAGTCGGCTCAGAGCGACACTCATCAGAATCTTTCGACTGATAGCGACAGTCATCGACCCGCGTGCAGTCTTATAGCACAGCAGCTTACACAACGCTTGTTCCCTTATCTCAGGGAACCGAGGTTATGAAAGTAACCAGAGCGTTCCCTTTCAAAAGGTCTCTCCCATTGTGTTGTATGCTTGTCGTGAACGCATCCAATAGCGCCGTGCTATAAGCAAGTGCAGAATGAAGCTGCTCTGCAAGCCCAGCCCTGTAGCACCCATAATGAGGGCTCCTAAAAAGCATGAGCAAAATTTGAGACCCAAGCCAACAGGCTGGGGTCTACATAACAAGACCTTCTCCACTTATACAGGTGATTAGGTAAATTAAGCCGACAAAAACCGTGCCTGAAGGGCATTTGAATAATACTTCTGAAGCGAGGTGGCCTGTGAGCGAACTGAAGCGAGTTACCTCATTCTATGGTTTTTAGAACCCAGCTTGACACATCCGGAATGGCTTTCCAAGCCTGGAGTGGCAAGTGGTCTGAGTTTTTCGAGTGGCAGGTCGCACCGCACAGGGGCGGGGAACTGACATTCATGATTATGAGAAAAGGAGAAATGCTCTTTTGAGTATGTGGGTCTGCTATCACAGCAGAAATTTTGTTGGGCATGCACTGAAGGGCGGGTCCAATTTAAACAGAGCTTCCATCGCCCAGAGCTATAGGCAGGGGGATGGAGAGTGGATGCAAGCTTTCTTTGATGGCAGTCCGGCCTCGGCGGGACCTGACTCTCTCCTCTTGACCCTCTCTGCATACCTGACCCTCTCTGCATAGGGATCAGGACCAGCTTCATAGACCAGCATCATTTGGGGGTGGGGTCCCTGGCGCTTAGGAAATGTTTTGCCACCTGAAGGCGATGTAAAAGCCCAGGCTCAGGTGAGGCGGCAGAAGTAGCAGTGAGAACGTGCGCTGAATAGGGGGCGTGCCATGTCCTGGTGAGTTCATCATGAACTTTCTGGAAAAACAGGCCTGGTCTCTGGCAGGAGGAGCATTGACGACGGGTTCCCTGCATGAGCCACACTTACCGCGTGACATTTTAAACAACGCTGCTAAGGAAATTGCTCTTAGGAAGTGCTTTTTTCAGTCGGCAGATGGCTGCAGGGGAAGTGATGTTAGAGGCGACCTTCCTCTGCCGGGGCTCTTCTATGGTGAGTAGCGGCTTCTCTTTGAGCTTCTTCGACTTCTAGGCTTCTTTCTTCAGAGTCCAGCGAGGAGATGATCTTTGCACTGAAGAAGAAAAATTCAAATTAATGGCGCTCTGAGCCGACTTATATAGCAGTTGGCTCCACCCCTTTTGGCAGGTTGAATCACCATTTGTTTGTGCAGCTACATGAACGTGAACAAATCAGGCTTCACTATCAGAGTAAAAAGGAGTTTACCCATAAGTGTACAATGCAAAGGAAGAGACCATTCGAAAGGGAACCATGGTTAATTTTCATAAGTGACCGTATGACCATGAAGGATACCTCAAACTTAAGAATGCAGTAGTTAATTAATTAATTAATTAATTAATTAATAGTTAACTAATTAACTAATATTAATCAGTTATTTCATTTTGATAGTCCTGTCTCAGATCTCAACATTTCTAAAATGACTACAAATTGACAACAAAAAATATATATATATATTTAACTTGAGTTAAAATCTGCATCATTTAAGTATTTTGCTTTAAAAAATTGCACACAGACTTATGCACAGCAATAGTTTGGCAAATATTGAAACAGTTGTCTGGACACTAGCAAGTTCTGCATAGGCAAGCATTACTCACAGATTTTTGTACAAAAACAAAGACAAAAAGTACAGTAGATATACTTTATTGATACATTTTTAATCTATTTGTTTTTTCCTCAAATTGCTGGTCAGTTCATTGTCCCCATCTTATTAAACAACCATTTGAGATTCTTCTAAACCGTGAGATAGACTGAAACGGGAGGTCTGTTGATAAACCAGCAGCACAATTCTGTCCATTAATTAACGTGGTCTCTTAAACCCACTCACTCTTTACAAGCGGTATGCAAACATCTCCTTGGCCGGCTCTGATTTCAAAGTCAAGTCCAGAGGACCAGCTGTAGACCATGGGACAATGTCATCAGCTTTTTGAAACAAAAGCTGGGTAGACCTGTTTGAGCAGCACTGGGCAAAAGAGATGGAGAGAGAAAGAGAGACAGAGCGAGCGAAAAGGGGAAAAAACAACAGTGATGTCTGAGACATTGCAGATGTCGAGTTGAATCCGCTAGTGGCTGTTGACAGTTTTTTGAGGAAAGACAGCTTGAGAAGTTCAGTGTGTAGTGTGCTTGTACACACACGTGTGTTTGTTCGCATATACTCACATGCACATGCATGCACTCAACACTTGCATGCTGCTAATGCAATGATTTGCGGTTCATCGTGCAGCACGCAACTCTAAATGCTGTGACGCAATGAAAGATGTTTGGTTGAATCAAAACGTTGCCTCGTTTTTCTCTTCACCTTAACACCTTCATTCCACGTCAAGAGCTAATCAGACGAAACATTCCTTCCCAATCCTTTAATCCCATTTCCTGATCAAAACAGTGTTGTTGATAGTTTCGCTAAGGTCAAATACAAATGCAATTAGCCCTGGCTTTACACCACGGTAACTGAGAGGTGACAATTTCACAAATTTCAGGCCAATTGTAACACAAAG